CCCCAAAACCCCAAAACCCCAAAACCCCAAGAAGGATACCATTAATTGGACGTTAAAAGTTTATTCGAATTCTAACTCCTCTGGTAAAGACGATTGTGTTTCCAAAGGTTCATAGTTTGCATAAAGCCACCAACCACTCTTTACGTACCAAACTTTTCAATGTTGAATTTTACATTCCTTCACAAGATTTTTGAGACCCTCTTCGTTTATTGGATAAGGAACCATAAATTTAAAATCATCTAGGGTCTTGTCAAAAGGAGTTGCATGAATAAACTCTAGCAGACACTTCAGCACTATGGTGTTGATGTCAACATAGTTAGAATCCAAATCTAAGCAATCCGTCAGCCATAGTTCTCCAAGTCTAAACTCTTTTCGCATAAACTTGTAATGCAGGTTCTTCTTTATCTCAGGTTCGAAGCTAAGTTCTTCAAGAAAACAGTTCTTGAACAAAATCTTTTTGAGAGTAGTGATGTTGAAGAATATCTTAATGAACTGCATCTTCATGATAACCTGGTAATGTAATTTAACAGTATCAATGACTCTCGGCAATACATTGATCAATGATCTAATAATCTTGGGGACTGGAGTCATAATATCTCTAAAGCAGGATGATAACTTTATACTGAAAACAGAAGGTGTTCTTCATTTGTCAAGAATTTGGGGGATGTGCTTGTCAGTGCTATTGAGAGTTAATGTAGGAGTGGGTTTAGGGAATTGAGGAATTTTAGAAATTTTAGGCAGGACTCTTGGTAGTTGAGGTAATCTGATTAGCTGGAAGAGGTGAGAAGTGATTTATAAGAGAAGGTTGGAGTAGAGGTAAAGATTAATAATAAGTATGTTTTTGAGTGTTTAAAATTGATGTATTTAGAACTTCCCACATGGAGATGAATAGCATGCATTGTTCCCTCCAGAAGGGATTCGTTCAGTCTATTGAATTGGAGCTGGTTGGAATACGACTAGAAGGTTATACAGCGGGGTTGGAATGGGTCTTGAAGGGGGAACTTACGATTTCGAGCTTGTGAGCGAAGAGAGTGGAGAGTTGGGAGGTGTTTGTGTTGCGGAGGATTGGAGTTTTAGAAGTACTCTCCACAGGTTCTAACCGTTTCATCTCTGGCAAGACCTTAGCAAGTCTTTTCAATGTTTCCTTGTGCAGTCTCTTTTCGTACTTGGCTTTCTTCTTAAGTGAACTCTTGGATTTTTGAGGAAGAGATTTCTCCATGTTGGTTGTTAGGGTTATTAAGTGTAAAATTTAATTTGGAATATTTTTAAATGGATTATGGGGTTTTGGGGTTTTGGGGTTTTGGGG